CTTCACCCCTACTTCAAGAAATGGGGCATTTCAGAGTATGAAATGGTTTTTCAGCCACAATCTGCACTTAGCTCCACAAGGATAGTGTTTTTTTTTTTTTTTTTTTTAAATGTTTGAAGCTGTTGGACATAGGTCATGCAATTTGTGGGTGAAGGAATAGTGGTACATACTGCCTGGAAGACCTATGATTTTTTTATGAGGGTTTTTTCTGTACATACAGTGTTTCCTGCCAGGGGATCTGGGAAACAGCCACAGATGGAGAGGCAACATGGTGCTGATACAACGTAACAAGAGGCTTCTTTGGTTTGGGGGCAAAGAGCAGTGTGCTGTTTAAGTGTTTGTTTTCCTTTTTAGAAAGGAGAAATCAGGACTGCCCTCAAGACCTAGAGGTTAAGGTGCCAAACATGAACCTTTAAAGCTCCAGTTGGTGTCTGACTGGGAACCTTTGGTGCATGTCCTTCCCCATCTCCCTGTACTTAGTATCATAACTTCCCCAAAATAACACCAACATGTTACCTTATCCATCACCCTGTTATTTAGCATTACAACATTTTAGAAAAAGAAGGAATAAGATATTTATGTTCCTGTTTTACACTCCATAGAGATGGAAGAGAAGACTACAGCTCCCAGTCTCTCTGCTACAGTATATGACATAACCATCAGTGCAGTGAGCAAGTTATTTTAATACTGAGAGATACACCTGGACTGTGTTTGTAGCATATTGAAAGGATTTAATTGAATAATTTAACACAGAGCTTCTGTGAATTTGTATGGTCAGTCATCTTTGATACTTTCATCTGATCGTCTTTTGAAATCTCACATTTAATTTCAATGAACAACAGAATAGGTAAGTATAGGTGGTTCCTGAAAAGGTACAGTGTCTCTGTCTATTTTAAAAGAAGGTCATAGAGTGCAGCTAAGTAAATTGTTTCTCCTTGAGGTGGATAGTGAAAATAGCGATGGCCACACTGGGCTCTCAGTTTACTGAACATCAGCAGGGAAGTAGTTCATCACTGTGGAGAGCTGAAGGAGAGACAGAGCTCTCCCCCCACGTCTCTGTCAGCCTGTCGACATGTCTCATAAACCCCATCAGTTCGTCTGCGTTCATTCATACCTCCTCTACATAGCCCTGTCTTTGTCTTCTTTCCACTGCCACTGTATCTCCTCTGCTCTCCTTCTTTCTCTCAAGCTGCCTGCTGCTCCCTGCCAGCGAAACACTGAATTAGAGCACTGAGCTCGGTGTCCAAGCACCCTCGGGTCATTTCAGTCAGTCGCTCAGCCCTGCCAACTAGTACGGCAGACATGCACTAGCAGCATATTTTTGTGCAGTCCAGAGTCCCAGTTTCCCAAACACATGTTCGCACTGTGATCATCTTAAGTCTTGCATGATAGCAATTTATAGAACTTTGAAGTCACTTTGACAGACGGCGCTTTATGTCCTATTATGTGGGTTTTGCTATGAATGTGTGGAAAATGTGTGCAACAACTGAAAACATAACGTGAACCTTACAGCAATATGCCAAAGAGGGATTTGATCATAATGTTCAACTCAAAGGTACAACTGTACATTAATACTACCTTGTTTAACAAAATGAATTGGGGCCTTTTTAGAGGAATCAAGACATAAGAATTGCACTCTTGAGTTTTGCTTAGGTTTAAATTGGAGAGTATATGTAGCTGTAGATGCAAATGCAACTTTCTCATTACTGACTCACTTGCTGGCCACATAAAAGTTGCCTCCCTGACGCACTGGTTTAGAGGTATGCTTATGACCACTGTAATTAGGACATGAATTGGACAGGGAACTCTTGTGCATATTGTCCCTGTGGGTTCAAGTCAGCTGTTTTTAGTAGGTCACATGTCCCTTAATCTCTTCAATGCTATAAGAGAAAGGAAGCCATGCCACCACCACCACCACACTGCATCTGTTATCATGTATGAGAGCATAAATAAAGGGAGAGCATGCAGTCCATTTTTACATCTCCTCCCGTGTCCCCGACAGGATTGCGGGGAGAGATGTCCATAGTCACACAGGATATACACTCACCGTCAACTCCCATGCACAATGAACCACTTAGGGTTCATCACCCCCGAACTCTTAAATCCCTCTCCTCCCCTCTCATCCCATCCTCACGCCCACTGAGCACATCCCAGGTGCCTGCTTTGCCCGTTCAGCCACTCTGCCCACCCACGCCCTCACACTCTTAGTCCCAGTGAGCAGCGGTGAACATTTTCCCGCTTTCTTCTTCTCCTCTCTACTCCCACCCACTCCGAAAGGCTGTGAATCACTGGCTGACATGCTGAAGCACCAGCAGGGCTCTTGTGTTTTAGATGGAGAGGGACTAACATCTATTTTTTTTTTTTTCCCTTGGTTTGCGAAGCATAGCCAACTATTATGGGTTTTGACTTGCGCTTAGGTAAAACACTTTGAAAGATACAGAGTTTGTGTAACTGTGCAGGGTGGCTGTAGACTGACATGAGTTAATGCATGTGCGTGCGTATGTGTTTGTTGGAGTGTGTCCTTGAGTGTAATACAGTTCTGGCATGTGTGTGTGCCAGGGGGACTGAGAGAACAAATTAATTGTTCTCTCATGGAAACGTTGTTTAGCACTTAGTGGAGTGATTCACGCGTCTCCAAAATCAGCCTGTGAAAGTGACAAGCAAGTCCTTGCTGCCTTTTCAGAGAACCACTGCTCAATGATTCATGTCCCCCAATCTGTCAGTAGGCACCGACTATTGAATGAGCTACAGATAGATCAAAAACTGACTTCTCCTCCGTGTTTTTCAAGTATAAAAAATGTCTTTGTTTCAGTTGATTGCAGAGTTTGTCGGACATGGTTGCATATAAGATTCATGTTGGTCAGGAGCATTTGTCAGAGGACATAGGTTTGTGCTATGTGTATATGGGACAGTCTTAACAAAAAAATACCTGCTGTTGATCAGGAGTACATGATTAAACCTGATATGAAGAGAATCATATTAACTTTCAAAATGTTATGTTGTATTAGGGCTGCAACTAAAGTTTGTCTGGATTAACTGAGTAATAGTTATTCTATAAAAGAAAATAGTACCCATTGAGTTTTCCCAGAACATGAAATAACATCTTCTGATGTGGTGTTTTGTCCAACCACCATCATAAAACCCAAAGATACAGCATTCAGTTTACTATCTGACACAGTAAAGCAGCAAGCCCTCACAACTGAGGAATGGAATCAGAGAATGTTTGGTACTGGAGAAATTAGTGAAATAATTAATCAGTTATCCAAATTTTCCATCCATTTTCTGTTGATCAGCAAATAGATGAATACAAAGCTCCACTGTCTGTTTTAACAAGTTTAATCTAGTGCTGCCTACTCATATTTTCAACAATAATAACAATAAAAACTGGTTATATGCTGGTGGAGGAGCATTTGTAACCTCTTCATTTGGACTACATCATATGTTTGACTTGGATTTTTAGCATAAAACTGAGTCATGAACACATGTCTTTCACAGGAAAAAAAAATACTGTTCATCCTCTATTACTTTTATGTGAAATTACACAAATTGCCCTTTCCTTTAGCCTTACAGCTCTGGAATGGACTGAGCGTAAGCTTTATTGAAATATTCATACAAAGGGTGCACATACAGTCGGTGTGTTTCAGTTACACAGCTTCAGCCACTTGGCAATGTGAGATCATTTTCACCCACTGACAACTGTGATTGTCTGGACTCCGATTTGCCAAGAAGCACTTCACACAGATGGCGAGAGAGAACATGGAGTTTGGATGATGGAGGATGATTTCACCGTCTCTTACAGGCCCCTGCATAATCGCGCTCTAAATATTTCCTAAGTGGGTTGATGTGTGCTTGTTGACATGTTTGTGTTCCTACATGAGTGTGAATGCATCCTATGAGTGTGAGTATACAGCGTGTGTGTCTGTCAGAGACTCGTGCAGCCTGCGGAAGCTACATAGGCATTGTGAGGACTCGGCAGGGAGCTCTGTTCCCCTTGTGTTTGCCAGGAGCAGCTTTCCACCCACGGTGGGCAGGCAAGCAGGCAGGCAGGCAGGCAGGCTCAGTTGGCATTCACTGGATGACTTGGGCAGAAAGGAGGGAAGGCACACAGCCATTCATGGTCACATTATGCACATGGGGAACAGGAAAGCTCTGGTGGTTTCGAGATATTCTCCAATGAATGTCTTTCTCTCTGTCTTTGACCAAAAGAAGAAATGTGTTAATTGGGCTACAGAACAAAAATAAGAACTGAGTTTCTCTCTGTCTGCAAATGTACAATATTGTACATACACTAACCACTTCAGTGCTGTGAACAATGCACATAGTCAACACTTCACTCCTTCTTGTTGTTTAAAAAATTGAAATAGATTCAAATGAGTGATGCCATAACTAAAAATCAAGCAAGATCCACAGTACTTGATCACTTATCAATTATTGAGAAGCCTACGTTAGTTTGATGACGTGATGGCGTATTGACGGGTCTTAATTGGCTCCTATACATTCAGCAGACTGTTGGGGTCGCCAGGAGTCCGAGGTGCAGCTCGACATGGTAGAAACCACAAGAGCGGCAAACTGCCCATGATAAACAATTGGTGTCATCCATTAGCTCCTGCTTCCTGAAACGCTCATTTTACATGTAAATTAACATATTGTCAGAGACCAAAACCCATCAAGCTGCAGTTTCAGTTTTGAAACAGCGGCATGTCTGTAAATAAAACAAACAGTAACCTGCAACAATACAAACATGACTTAATAAGTTCAGTATCATGTATATCATTTAATTACTATGCAAATAGAAAAAATAGGGTTAGTAAGTGAATAAAAAATATTTTGTTCCAAAATTAATAAATACACGTATATATGTTTAATTTACTCATTAAAATTGCCTCCTTTTTTTTTTTTTGCATTTTATTCGGGGGGATGGGGGGGGTTAATTTCTCTCTTTTACTAACGCACACCTCTCTCTCTCTCTCTCTCTCTCTCTCTCTCTCTCTCTCTCTCTCTCTCTCTCTCTCTCACTTTTCCCTCAGCTACCCAAGATGGCGGCAGCCTCATCCATCCAGCCGCCGAGCGTTCACTCTTCTCTAGCCCGGGAGAGCGCACTTTCCCCGGAGATGGACAGCCCCGAGAACCGTCAGCCGGAGGATGAGGAGGCGTCGGCAGCGCAGTCCTCCGAGCCGGGGATTAGCCTCCGCGACCTGCCGGACCTGGAGCCGGAGGAGATCGAGAAGAGGCTGGCCAAAACTCGCCAGGAGCTGAGCAACAGGAGGAAAATCCTCATTAAGAACCTGCCGCCTGACACCACTAATCAGGTACACGTTAGTTTACACCGGAAAACTGGGAGAAAAGTAGCGTGGTTCTGTTGGTTTTCAGTTTTTGCAGACATTGGGACTTATAGCGCGTTCATCAGTTTAGTTTGTACTGACTGACGTACTTTTCAGGATGTTTAATCTGTACTGTTTCGTGTCAATAGGGACCTGTTTGATGCTACTAATGATACTGAGGTGCAGTGACCTAAAATTACCTTTTGCTTAGTATTTTAACCTCTTTTCAAACCACATCTCTATGGATTTTGTTTGGAAGGTTCTCACATTTAGCTACTTCAGGATCACTGGCAGGCAGTGGGTGTGTTGTAAATTTTCTTGTTTACTTGCACACCATCACTCTAATGTTGAAGAAAGTGAAAGTTACGTTCAGCAGTTAAAGACTGTTCTCTGACCACATAAATGACAGTTCACATACTGTAGTCTAAGAATATGAAACAGAATTTTATTTGATCACAAAAGGTAAGCAATTTAAGGTTGATGTAAACAAAACATGAACAGCATCAAAAAGCATCATGTAGAATACTTAGAAGCACAACCAAAATGTGAATGCTTATGTTTCTAAATGAGTTATGTGCAACATGATCATGCTGTAACATTTCTGATTTGCACATTGGTTTACACACCATTTTAGGACAGGGTAAATGTATTCATGCCCCTGTACTTGCATCAAAAATACATGGGAGATATATGAGGTTGAGGTAAATTAACACACATTTTAATTTCAATACTAGCACGCAGCAGTACATTGATCTGCATTTTTTTTGCCATTCTCAAGCAGTTGTTGCCGTCTTACGTTTTTTTTATCCTTTTCCTGACTTTTTGCAGCATAAATTGCAGTATACGACATGTACAATAACAGCTAACATTATAATCAGTTCATGTGGTAAACTTAATGTGTTCCATACCATACAGTATTGTACAGTTAAATTTCACTCTCATGCTATTAGTGTTAAACAAATATTGTTTTGAACAATATAAAAAATGACAACTGTTTACCTAACTTGGATTGTTATGTTTTCAAGACATGATTTCTGGCTTGTTGTAAACACTTTGCTATAATCAAATTCCTTTAATGGAGGCAAAAGCAGCTCAGTCAGTTTATCTTGTATGTTTGTTGTACACTTCATATGCATGTTTCTTGTCAAAGACCAGAGAGACTTCACTGTTATGACTTCATGACCTGTTTGATTCCTCCTAAGTGTGATTCATCACTTGTGTCAGCATGCAAGTGTTCATGAGGCTGCATGTGGAAGGCTCTGATGCTGTGTTCCTTCAGGGTTGTAGCACTAAACATTCTTAGAAAGAGGCACACTGCAAAAGAGAGCCAGCTCTCTGCCTCGTGTTTGTGTGCAGTTAATGTGTGTTAGGAGAAGGAGAGAAGGAGAGAGGGAGTGTGAAAGAGTGCGACTGCGTGGTGTGTGAGAAATGAGAAACGGAGGGGAGAGAGGAAAAAGTCACTTGGATCAGGTGAAGCAACAGAAGGGGAATTTCTCTCTCTGTATTTTCCACATTATTCATGTGTCAGATGGAGCGTGATATGTTTAGTGAGTCTAAGCAGAGCAGTTGGAGAGCAGAGCTGCATGAAATCTGCCCAGCTGAACGTAACGTAAATCTATCCGTTTGAAATGGGAAGTTCACACTCTTTGACATTACACAGTGCGAGTTACTGACTGGTAGTGATACTGTTGAATCGACATATCAGGCTATGGATCTTATGCTTGAAGATACATCTGCGAGGGAGACAGAAATGAGCAGTTATCCACATCCCAGCTCTCTCAAATGTTGTAACCATCAATAACAGAATAACACATTGCACATTGTTAAATGGTTAACACGTTCTTTTGAGTGCTGTGTTGTGGTTTAGAATGGTCCATCTGCTGCTGTTCATTTCTGCCTGAAAGGCTGCTTATGTCTGTATATCAGTTAAATGACAAGTTGAATAATAAATTATGGAATAGAAAGATACAAAATTTTAAAAACCAATCTTCCAAGTCTTTTATTACAGAATGATAAAGAATTTTCTTATTCCACCCTCTTAAGTGTAGAGATGTGCTGCTTTTATGTTTTAAATCATTATAAAGTGAATATTTTCTTCTTTCCCAAAAGTTGATTGGATGAAAAAGCCATCTCAAAACACCTCCTTGTGCTCTTGGAAGTTGTGATTGGCATTTTTCACTATATTCTGACATTTTACAGACTTAGTGGTTAATTAATTATTTAAAAGAATAATCAAGCTTAATCGGTTATCCTAACCAGTATCAGTATTCATATGTTTCAGTAGTGTAGAGGGTTTAAAGACTATAGCTACTCTTGCTTGGTCCAGCTCAGGAATCCAGTGATATTCATAGTGCAGGTGTTGACATTAGAATATCTTCCATACGGATATAGATTCATGGTGAAGGAAAGTCCTCGTCACTGTCTTACATAACCTGTCTGATGGACTCAACAACGTCCAGCCGACTCATCTCCCATTCCCCTCATACCGGCTGCCCCATTAGCGAACACTATATCCCAGATTGTGTGTGTGTGTGAGTGTGTGTTTAGAGAGTATGGTGCACTGTGTCAGGGGTATGGCTCTGCTGACAGTACTCATCTCAGGGAGAAGTAGGGGGAGGGAAGAGTGCAGTGAGGAAGAGAAATCAGAAGAGCTGGCTGAGACGAGAAGAAGTGAAGGAGGGATAAAAGAAGAATGTAAAGGAAAGAATAGAGGGTGGGAGAAGTAGTTGAGGGACAAGCAGGGAGAGCCATTTTGAAAGAATGATGGATGTGAGATTGGATTTTTATTCTTTTTGATGTTGACACTATCCTGCTTAGATCAGAGTCATCAGCATTTTATATTATATACCATTTTATCAAAAAAGTTGGGTTCACTATAATGTTGTCAGTAGCATTTTGACTCAAAATCCACAATTAAATCCACTTCCTGAATCCAAATCCTTTTGAATCTCTTGTTGAACGCAACATGATTTAGGTTTCAACATTTTCAAGTAAACACAATTATAAGTAACTAAAACTCAAAGAGTCAGTTGATCTGTAGAAGCAGTGCACTTTCGGCTGATTTCTGTACACATTTTACACATCGGAATAACAGGTGTGTCATATATACATTTTACACCCTATGTTTCATGAACTACTTGCTCCAAATACTGTAGGTACTAATTCAGAACTACTAAATCGATAAGCTTAAATTATTGATGCCATATTCATGAAAGCTAAACTAAGAGGAAAAAAGAGTCTGACAAGAGATTAGTGTTAGTGTTGGAGCATAGGGAATCTGATTATCAGATCCCAACCTTGGACATGATCCATTACTGGTTTCCCAGTCACAAATGACCAAGTTGGAAGTATTCCTTTTAGGTTTGTTTTTGAGCTTTGAACTTTAGAGGTTTTGAGCAAAAATTTTGCCCCAACTGTTCACCCCAGGCTCTGTTTCATTTCAAAAAGAATAAAAATTAGGTTCATTAAATCCAAGAGTAGCGTAAAAACATATTTTTCAGATGTAGAAGAAGGTAAAAGTGGTAATGTATGTTTGTGCATTGGGAGGAGATAAGCTCCTTAGGTCTTCTGATAAATTCCTGAATTATTCAGCTTCTTAGAAGCAGACAAAACCTATGCAAGCTGTGGACTATATGTACATATGTTTATGTTTTCTTTTCAACACCAGGCTGTGTGTGAGTGCAGTTGTATTTGCATATGTACAGGTAAACACAAATACATGTAAATGTGACAAAGCAGTGTGCGCCTGAGCTGTTCTCTTTCCACCCACTTCCTCCTCTTGCTTTACATGCTGTGATGTGTCTGTGTCAGTAGCAGATGTTCATGAAATCTACCCCTCCTGACAGTGGGCAGCCTTCATCACTGTCATCACTGTGCCCATGTGTGCACATTGTTGTTATTTAGCTGTTTACTGTGGCATTAGTCACCTCAGGGGTTTGCAGATGTTTGTGGTAGGGCCTGAGCGATATTGGAATTTTGGTGCCATTACCAATATTAGGAATTTAAAAAAAATTCTGATATCGATATATTGGCCGATTATATATAAACACTTAAACTTTATTGTCCAAAATGACATCAGTGCACTGAAACGGTAAACTTCACTGAGAATTAAATAAAATAACTATAAAAATAAATAACCATAACTAAAAAACATAAGAACAAATATGTATGTGTGTGCGTGTGTATATACGTATATTTAACTTGAATGAAAACAAAAAATCAAATATACATAAAAAGCTGCCTATATAACTTGACTTGACCCGAATATTTCCACTGCATTATTGCTTCTTAAAAGTATTCATATTGGCGCATATCGGAGAATATATGCGCCAACACCAATATATCTGTGATAGGCCAATATCAGCCGATAAAATTGGGCAACCGCTAAATCGGTCGGGCTCTAGTAGCATTCAATATGCACCTGTTAGACTGACTGTTATTACAACCAGGATAAATCAACAAGTTAATACAGGTTACTTATTTACTCATTATATGGCACAATTTAGCCTTGGCCCTCGAACATGTAGCTGACTTAAAATGAACTTGGCTGGAGAATATAATGTTGAACCAGTTGAGGACCATGATGACTGTTTTCAGTATATATTATGGTATGGAAAATGTAAGCAAAATCACATATAACACAACCAGACTAATTCATTTCCAGATAAGCCCATAAAATCACATTGACCATATCCTTGACTTGAACTCCTGTACTGTGAAGGACTGATATCGCAGATTTATGAGCTCATTAACAACATTAATCCACACCCCATTGAACATTTAAAAATAGCTTAGGGCTCTGATCTTGGTGTAGTTTTAACAGCTGACCAATGGGACTCTTCCTTGGACTTGGTACACACATCGTCTACATCCACTAAACATGGCTTAGCTAGCATTTTACTAATGCTAGATTAGCAAAAAATTATCTGAACGTTTGAGTCATTTTGCTCTTGTTGTAGAGGCCAGCCAGCAGACTTGATGCACGTGTT